ACTGAAAACGGTTTCGTAGCTCGAGCTGAATGGTTTCGAGACTTTGAATTATAGCACAAGGGGGACGGAACGTTGACTTCATTAGACGTGATCTCTCCAACGTAACGTTTAGGTTCAGTGTGCCTCTCACCATTCGGCGATCGCTGCCGGTTTTCACCCTCGCAATCACTGAGACATCACTGAACAGTTGTGGTCTGGTCGTCATAATGACGTCAATCTTATTTTTTGTCGAATCGTCGGGGCTCGATCAGGTCCACTTCCTGTGGTGCCGCTTCAGGGAGAAAGAGTTCATCATAAGGAGTCCCTCTTATTCCGTGAAGTCGGTCAGCTGCTGGCCCCTTGGATTCCGTTGCCCTATTCCGAATTTACCTACTATCAGCTCACCGTTCTCTCTTGTGCCTAGGTTTTCGTTGAAGTCTCCCATTAACACCGTATAGTGGGTTTTGGAGGAATGCATGGCTCTAGAGATATCTTCATACATTTCCTCCACCTCCTCATCGGGGTGTGCTGAGGTTGGTGCGTAAACCTGTATGACCTTCAGTGAATATCGTTTGGTAATTCAGAGTATAAGGTACGCAATCCTCGTCGACACACTCCCAATCTTTACAACATTGTTAACGAGAGACTTGTGGACGATAAATCCGACACCTCCTTGGGACCGATGTTCGCCCTCCCGGTGATAGAACAAGTTGCCGGATTCGAGGATTACCGTGTCCTCCCCTTCTCTTCGGACCTCGGATAATCCTATGATATTCCAGCGCCACTTGTCTATCTCTTCTTCCAGCTCCAGGATCTTCTCGTCAGTCCTCAGGGTGCGTGCATTATAAGTAGCCAGGTCGAGTCGTCGTAGGTGGCAACCGAACCTCCACCGGAGATTCTGATACAATTAAAATTGATCCACAACTACAAGCTATTGCTGGTGGAAAATCACAATTACATAAATATCATTAGTGTTTTTTGTTTTATTGTGATTACTAGGATTCAGCCTTTGGGGGATGAAGCTGCTTACGTATTACTTGAATCCTGATTCCTACACGTAACCCCTAGGTAGTGCTAAACGAGCAGTACTACATACTAGTGGTAGGTTGGTCCTTTACTAGTGAGAGGCTCGGCCGAGGGTTAGTTACCACCCACCTGGCAAAAACATACCGCCAAATGATGCAAATCGTGTTCCGGTATGATTTTAGGTGAAACCCATATCTTAAGGTCTGGACAGTTCCGTTGCGCATACGAACCGGCTGCAACGCGGCCGTTTCTTTGTGTCAGATGCCTGGTTATGGAGGTTAGCGGGATCCGAAGCACGGTCGCACCGCTGGCCGACCGTAGATAGTTGGGGGCCCAAGTAATGAGCCAGCCACTCATGAAAGGCTGCCCCGCCATCTTACGAAAAATCCTGGGATGGCTCCACCATGCCGGTTGGCGACCGGAGGAGAGGGCCTGGTGGCAATTTCCAGGGGGGTTCGGGCGTCCCCGCGATCTCTATGCTAGGTACCATCGATGCTGTGACTCTGTTTGCGTCCCTAGGTTATATGTGTGACGCCCCGTCCAACTGCCATTCTCCCAACATATTCACTCCCATCATTAATGAAAAAAAGGAAAAAGAAGAGTAAGTCTGTACAGCGGTTGCACTCCCTCTCAAAGTGTACCTCACAAACATCCGAGGCCTGCGCTCTAATCTCAATGCAGTCCATTACCACCTTGAAACTGACAAGCCGCACTAACTCTTCTTGACTGAGACGCAGATCAGATGTCTTCTAGATGCGGCGTACGTCGGCTACCCTAGGTACACATTGGAGCATAATTTCCATCAGCGCGCCGGCGTCTATGTTTACGTCCGCAACGAACTCACTCAGAACACACGTCTCACTCAGAACTGGAATAGTGCCTAAATCTTGGAAGCTGGCCAATGTGCAGCTTGTGCCTAAAAAAAGTAGCCGTACCGACCCTGCCAACTATCGGCCAATTTAAATTACCTCCGTACTCTGCAATATATTGAACGCCCACCTCATGGCATACCTAGAGCAAAATGATCTCCTCAGTGATCGCCAGTACGAGTTTCACCGAAATTGATCGACTAGGGATCTTCTAGCGTATGCCACTCACATATGGGGCGAAGCCTTCGAGAACAGTCGTGAAGCACTTGCTGTTTCCCTCGATGTTTCGAAGGTCTTTGACAGGGTTTGGCATGCTAGTCTATTGGGCAAGCTTTCAGCGTACAGCTTATCCCCTGGCCTGATTGCCTAATTGAAGGACTTTTAGAGTGCACGATCTGTCCGGGTCGATTTCAATGGCTGCTCATCCGGTACTGTGGCGACTAACGCCGGTATTCCTCAGGGGTTCGTTCTCTCCGCAATTCTCTTCCTGCTGCATATAAATGATCTGCTCATTCCCAGGTATGCAGACGACAGCACAGTTGTGGAGAGATACCAACCAAGTGCCCGGGTCAGTCGGGATCAAATCCAGTCAAAAAGAGAGGCTATGGTTGAGCGTGTGAGTCTCGCACTACAGGCAGGCTCCGAATGGGGTGATGCCAATCTCGTGAGATTTAACGCCTCCAAAATACAAGCGTGTCTTTTTAAAAAGAGCCCGCTCACCTTGGCTCCTACTATCTGGAATGTATCCTTAGAGTACTAAAATATGGGCGGTTTATTGAGTCCAGAACAAAAGCAGCCGCAAGAAAACTTGGTGTCCTTGCAAGGGTGCGGCGGTACTTCACGCCGGGGCAGCTTCTTACTTTATATAAAGCGCAAGTCCATTCGTGTATGGAGTGCTGCTGTCACGTATAGGCTAGTGTTGCAAAATGCCACCTGGCAGCATTGGACTCAGTGAAGAGACGTGCTAAGTGGCTCATTGGTGACCTTGATTTGGTTGAATCCAATCTTGTCAGCCTCGAGCACAGGCGCAGAGTAGTCAGTCTCTCGGTATTCTATAGGATGCATTTCGGTGAGTGTGCGAGGAATTACACGCTTTAATTCCTCCCTCTCCTTTCCACCATCGGACAACCAGGTACTCGGCGGGTCTTCATCCCTTTGTTGTCGATATTCCACGCATTAGAACCAAATGGTTTGCTTCGTCTTTTGAAATGCGTACAGCAAAGGAGTGGAATAATTTGCCGGCGTTCATCTTTCCGTCCGAATACAATATGGGCATCTTCAAGGCAAGAGTGACTAGGCTTTTGTTACGATAAGACAGTGCGATTTACTATCTAAGGCCACATCACCACTTACCTCCAGGTGGGATTGTGGTCACAATAAGTAAAAAAAAATCATTTCAATTATTTGTTAGTTAATAATATCCTTAAGCTTAGATATTGAAGTTAAGTTTTCTGCGTCATCATTTCTCTCGTAAGTTTTACCTTGCGAGTAAATAAAGCCGAGTAGCAATAGTAACAATATAAAGACATTGGTAGTCGCGGGCCAGAGTGATGATACTAGTCTTAATCTGTCGCGTGCCGGATCGATGGCACTGGCGGGCCGGATTTTACTCGCGGTCCGTAGTTTGGAGACCCCGGCGTAGACAGTCATGAACTGTCTACGCCGGGGTCCATGTCCATGACGGCTCCGTAGTGTAGTGGCTTAGCAATGAGTTGTTGCGCTGGGTGCCGCGGGTTCGAATCCCGCACGGAACAAGTATTTGTATGGCCCACAAATAATTGTTCCGGGTCTGGATGTTTGTCCTCGTGCAATTTATGTTTGTAAATTGCCTCCACGACACAGGAGAAAATCCTAGTGTGGAGTTAATGTTTTTTTTTAAAAAAAAGAGAGAAAGAAAGAAAGAAAAAAAGAAAAAAAAGAAACTGACACGATTTTAACATACAGTGCGGCGTTGTCAAACTTATATGAAATATCTTTTTTACTCCTAAACTGGGCTCCGTGAAATAGACAATGAGGCATGATTACAAGTTAGATACACAGTTATGATAGTGGCAACGTCTTATGACTACGTACATTATGATATTTTTAGGGATGAGGTGTATATGCTGGTCTCAAAACCCAGTATGAACTTGATAGTACGCAGACCGGGTATATGTACGGCAGCGACCCGGTCCACACTCGAACCCTATAGGTATTATCGGTATCGCACGAGCTACGCGCCGAACGAGATCGTATATGACCCCCCTAAGTGCCTGCCTATAGTTAATACAAAATGAAATTTCATTTTGTATCAAAAATATTGTCTAAAAATACTAGATAAGTGGTTAGCACATAACTTTTTTTTTTATAGAACAACATTTGAGTATAGGTACCTATCAAGAATATCATTCAGCGCCTTCGCCTTGTAGTAAATATAGTTTTTATTCGTCTATATTTTTTTGATTATTATACGTCGTATGATATATCAACATACCCATTGCCGGCCTCAGGATGTTGCCCGTGATAGGAAAAGGTTATTAAAATGTTTCAAAGTTCGCTAAGAGTTTCCAAAAGGAGGCCGCTAAGGCCAGACCAGAACATACCTATAAGTATTTTGATACCGGGTTTTTGTACCGGGTATATGTCGATACCAGTACCTTTGAGGCTGTTAAATGTTACAGGCATATGAGATATATTTTGTAGCCTTAGAGCCTATGCTTTTTCCAAGTTACGATTCGCCATATAAGTCATGCAAATGTCATAGAACTTACAGCCTATCTGACGTGTATTTTATTCTGATGTCTCACGTTTCAAAGTTTTAGGAGATTATGATGATAGCTAATGTCTAAATCCACTTTTCAAGCGAAACCATAATTCAAGAGATAGTACAAGTGTAGCGATCCACCAAGAAAAACAAATTCGGATATTGTAGAATCGTCGTCGCCACTCTGTATTTCTTCATCTATAAACTAAAGGCAAAAGAACAACGAATACACATGCATTGCGATATTTGAATTTTCCTCTTTATTTCTTTACTTAAAATGTTAATATCGTGATCCGTGCTCTGACAATTAATTTTACAATGATAATCGTTACTCCAATTAGACCTTTACACTTACGACATAAGATTCGTATTGCAACTACAGTCTAAATGAGTACGTAGGCGGGCGCATTTTCCACACCGCAGTTGTTGTCTCGGGAGGACATGAGCACGTATCCATCGTTTCCCCATCGGTTCGACCAGGAGTTCTTAACGAGCCAGTATCTCTGTCCGTTGAAGGTGCCGTATCCTACCACCAAGACTGCGTGGTTCATTTGGTATATTTTGTTTTTGCTGGAGAAAAAATAAATAAATTAGTATACAGGTTATGTGCAGTATAGTGTCTTGTCTGCGATTTTGTAAAATGCACTGGGCCTATACCAAAATACAATATTTGATGATGAAAAATCCCAAATGGATGAAACTATTGACATAGAATTTTCACGGATAATACAATGTAATCGTCGTTTGCTGCTTAATACAATCTAACACCCGTGGCAGAGCCATACTACAGCTATAATAAAGTTGTTGCACAAATGGTTCGGCTCGACCGGGGAAGGGCCACGCTCTCACAAAATACCAGCGTACAAAAGCAACTTAATGCTGCTTTTTGTATTGTGAGTATAGAGAACCGGAGACTCTTTTTACTGGAAACGAGGCATTCCATCTTGGCCCTCAGGCATTCAATCTACACCGTTCTTGAATCAACTTTATCACACACAAGATTTCATCAAAATCGGTCCAGCCGTTTAGAAGGAGTTCAATCACATACACACAAAATATATATATATATATTTACATTTCTTTAACAGTGGTAGAACCACGCGGCAGCTTTTGCTATTGCACATATGGGCCGGCTTGAACCAGGGACGGCAAAGCCTCTTGCTCTTTCTAACCGAGACACAGGTGTCTCCTCTCCGGCCGATATTTCGTATCTCTCCTATCCGGGGTATAAATTAGAACACTCCTTTGTGCCCCGGGCTGGAGTTTGCGTGTACGTAAGAGAGGACATCTGTTTTCGACATCTCGGCAGTCTTGAAGGTACGGACCTGTCTATCCTATATGTCGTCATCCGTAGACAGGGACGATCATCCCTACGTCTACGGGTGCCTCTATAGGTCCCATAGAGGTAATGCCGACACAGACCGACTCATTGACCACGTCCAAATGGCTGCAGACTCCGTGTTACAACACGCCCCATCCGCAGAGATCGTGATGCTCGGTGATTTAAACGCCCACCACGCTGAATGGCTTGGTTCCCGTTTAATCGATCGTGCTGGTAGATCTGTTTATGACTTTGCCTTGGCATCTGGTCTGACACAACTGATTACTTCGCCTACGCGGATCCCAGATGTGGAGGATCATGTACCTTCCCCGTTGGACGTTCTGTTGACCTCTCATCCGGACGGATATCAGGTCTCCGTCAATGCCCCTCTTGGCTCTTCGGAACATTGTCTGATCTGGAGTACGGTGCCACTCACGCTCTCATCGCAGTTGCGATCTGCAGCTTGCCGCCATGTTTGGCAATATAGGTCGGCCGATTGGGACGGGATGCAGTCTTTTTTTGCATCCTACCTTTGTGAGCAGGTTTGCTTCTCACCGGATGATCCCAACGTTGTTACTGATTCTGTCGCTGATGTGGTACTTCAGGGATGGAATTATTTATTCCATCATCTGTGGTGCCTATCGGAGTCAGAACTCAACCATGGTTTGGTCGTTCCTGTAATATTGCATCACGCTATAAGCAGGAGTACTACTGAGCCTGGGCTGACACATCAACGTCCCGGGATGTAAACACCAGCGCCATCTCTGCCATCTATGCACAGGGTGGACGACTCACCGGCCTATGATGCAAGGGAGAGTGCCAATCTGCTAGGCCTTTTTGCTTCCAACTCGACTCTAGATGACGGGGCGAATACATCGCCGACCATCCCGCGGTGTGAGTGCTCTGTGCGTCTGTGAGTGCTGTTTACACAGCACTCGGTGCGTAAAGCACTCCTCTCCCTGGACGTCAACTAGTCGAGTGGTCCAGAGTGGCCACCGGTTTTAACGTTTTCCCTAAAAAGGCGACCGCTCAGATCCGTCTAATTACAGGCCTATCGCTATCACCTCCTTGTTCTCTAAAGTAATGGAAATTATTAGTAACTGTCAGCTCATGCGGTACCTTAAGGATCACCAGCTGGTTAGTGACCGCTATTACAGTTTCCGTTGAGGTCGCTAAGCAGGTGATCTTCTAGGTTACCTAACTCATAGATGGGCGGAGGTAGTGAAGTCCAAGGGGGAGGCGTTGGCTATTAGTTTGGAAATAGCGAAGGCATTCGATTGGGTTTGGCACAAAGCGCTTCTTTCGAAGCTCTCTTCCTATGGGCTTGTCGAGAAATTGTGCAACTTGTTCGCCAGTTTTCTTGCAGATCGGAGCTTCAAAGTCGTAGTGGATGGTGCACGCTCCGATCACAAGCCCATCAACGCTCGTGTTCCACAAGGCTGCATGCTATCACCAACGCTGTTTCTTCTGCATCCCAATGATATGTTGCAAACCGGTAACACTCATTGTTAGGCAGACGACAGCACTGGTGATGATTTATACACCGGCCGTACCAATATTTCTCGGGAATTCGTCGCCGTGGCCCGGAACAAACTTGTGTCTGAAGTTGAGATTTTATTTAACAAAGCCTCAAACTGGGGGCGACTAAATCTAGTACAGTTCAATGCCCAAAAGTGAGTCTTCTTGTGTTTGCGCGTTTACTGCTAAAAATAAACCCCTTTGTCGTATCTCCTCAGTTTCAAGGCACTCCCCTTATTGCCTCAGCCAGTATCGGAATCCTCGATGTCGACATATCGAGTGACGTGCAGTTTTCGTGGTCACTTGGACGAGAAGGCCAAATTGGCCTCTAAAAAGCTTAGCGTGCTCAGCAGAGCGGGACAGTATTTCATGCCGGCACACCGCTTGCAACTTTACAAGGCGCAGGTTCGGTCTCACATGGTGTGAGTGCCAGCTCCTTCCACTTGACCGCATCCAGCGCAGAGCGATTCGAATCGTCGACGCCCGAGTTCTTTCCGATCGGCTTGACTCACTGGCACTGCGTGTGATGTTGCATCTCTGCGTATTTTATCGCATCTATCACGGGGAGTGCTCTGAGGAATTGTTCGGACTTATTTCAGACGCTCAATTTCACCATCGCACATCGCAACAAAACTCGCGATACCATCCATACCATCTGGATTGGCGGTCCACCACTGTGCAATTTAGAAGAAGTTTTCTTCATCGCACAATTTCCTTGTGGAATCGATTACCACCAGCGATTTTCTCGGACCGATATGACTTAAGGGACCTTTTTAAAAGGCCGGCAATGCATCTGCAATTCCCCCGGTGTTGCAGTTGTTCATGGGCGGCGGTAGTCACTTACCATCAGGTGAGCCGCATGCTCGTTTGACCCCTCTCCTACAAAAAAAATATTGGAACACTCCTTTGTGCCTCGGACTGGAGTTTGCGTATATGTCAGAGAGGACATCTGTTCTCGACGCCTCGGTACTCTTGAAGGTTCGGACCTGTCCATCCTTTGGCTACGCGTAGATACCGATAAACTCCCGTGCGTCTACGGATTTCTCTATAGGTCCCATACGGGAATGCCGAAACAGAACGACTCATTGACTACGTCCAAATGGCTATAGATTCCTTGCTACAGCAGTTCCCATTCGCATAGATAGTGATCCTCGGCGATTTTAATGCCAGTTATCGACAGCAAGAATTTTTTCGACAGTTATCGTCACCACATCAACATGCGGATGTGCACGTAATTTTATTACAAACTGGTTTTTTTTTCAAAGTAGCAATGTATAATAACTTTTAGAAAATATAAGATGGATTAGTTAGAGTGTTTTTTGATATACGGCTACTTATCTGTATTAACGTATAAGTGCAATATGATTATGATATGCATTTTAAGAACACAAATTTGCTTGACTTTGACGTGGCGAGAGTAAAGCACTACCTGCAAAACTGCGGTTGGCAACACGTTTGCCAAGCGTGGCAACTATGGCACATATCCCCCCTACGAGACAATTTATGGGGGAGCCTATGTTCAGCAGTGATCTTTAATAGGCTGCAGCGGTAACGGTAACGGCTGGCCCGCCCTATCACACACACCTGTCTCGCTTCTTTCATATTTTTACTTTATACATAAATGCATCCAACTAGCTGTCCCTCGCGACTTCGCTCATGTGGAATTTACTACGATTTCATGGGTTTTAATTTATTGCGCGAAACCGTAATTCTTTTTCGAAAATAAAAGTATCCTAAGTTATTCCTTATAGCATCAGCTATCTGCCAATGAAAGTCCCGTGAAAATCAGTCCATCCGTTTCGGAGAGTAACTGGAACAAACAGTGTTTTTTTTTGGTATTGGTACCGTATTTACTCATATGCATTTTGTAAAAAACGGTTATTTTAACATTATAAACAGACACTTCAACTTTATTTATTTATATAGATTTGGTCGATAATCTACCGTCTAGGGCATCCCTTGCCAATTCTGCCACTCCTGCAGCATAAATCATTGAATTGTTATAACAAGTTATCCCTTCAAAAACCTTACCAATTTGGTTCAAAGTATACTCCGTGAGAGTAGAAGCTGAAACTCTTTTGCGAAGCGTCGATCACCACCGATACCGGACCGTACTTGAAGATTGCCAGCTATAAAAAAATTGTTATTCTGAAAAATTTGAAAAGTTTATTGCCCTAGATTTATTTATATTACGCCTAATGGTCTAGTGGTCGGAAATACGGTTGCTGATCATGTTGTCAAGGGTTCGAATCCCGGGTCAGATCTAAACCAGTTATTGGGTTTCCTGTCAAGAAATTCTCAGTTCAAACTTAGCGGTGTTTCACCCCAGTGCCTCGGAAAGCACGTAAAGCCGTTGGTTCTGCACCTGATCTCTCTCCAGTCGCGTTGGACTACCGACCCATCGGATTATGAGAGTGAGGGAATAGGACTACACCTGTGCTTGCGCATACACTCGTGCACTATAAACCTGTCCTGCGCAGATGGCTAGTCACCGCTGAGACTGGCTGAAATTCGGTCTGGAGAACATTATTATTATAAATCCAGACTCTAAATTTTAAAGCAATTATTATCTACAGAAGGATAGTTTACTGCCTTAAACACTTAACCAGGCTTAGGTCATCACGCTCCTACATTGTTAATACTTAATTTTTACCAGGTTTTATAAAACCCACAAGCTAAATGAATGTCATCCCAAATATATTATCTATGAAACAAAAGTGAACGAACTTGTATCGGAACGTAAATATCATAGTGACAGCCATTTGAATTCGTGAAGTTTTTGTTTATGACTACGAAATTGAAAAGTTATTCCAATGGCAGTCGTCGGAAGATGATTATAAAGCATGGTGTAAATGCGACGCTAAGACTGAATATCTTTACCACACACTTACACACACATTTAATCTGGTAAAGATAATGAACCCAATGAAGAAGGTCTGGGGTTTAGGGTTGCCAATTTTTTTTGTGTAAACGTACCGAAAAATATTGCAGTCTTTGACAACTTTTTACTTCTATAGCTCTTGTGAAATTCCTCTAAAATAATATTCTCCATAGGTACTGTTCGAATAACACGAAAAGGGCTTCCCAAAGATTTTGGATTATGGACAGGCAAAGGGATTATGTTTTCCCACGTCATTTTCATTACTTTTCCATCATCATTAAAGCCCTTCACAAGTCCACTGCTGAACATAGGCCTCCCCCAAGGAATGCCACAAAGCACGGTCCTGAGCCACCTGCATCCATTGACTTCCTGCATGTCTCACCAGGTCGTCATTCCATCTAGTGGGGGGTCGCCCTACACTTCGCCTACCGGTACGAGGCTGCCATTCGAGAACCTTTCTTCCCCATCGTTTGTCGGTTCTTCAAGCTGTATGGCCGGCCCACTGCCACTTCAGCTTACTAATCCGTTGGGCTATGTCGGTTACTCTAGTTCTACTGCGGATATCCTCATTTCTAAGTTAATCACGCAGAGTCACCCCGAGCATAACCCTCTCCATAGCTCGCTGAGCAACCTTGAGCTTCCTCATACGGCCAGCAGTGAAGAACCACGTCTCAGATCCGTAAGTCATCACTGGCAACACGCACTGGTTGTACAATTTTGTTTTCAGGTTTTGAGATGTGTCTAACGAGAAGATGTGTCGTAGATTCCCGAACGCTGCCCAGCCGAGTTGAATCCGTCGATTGACCCCTCGGTCGAAGTTGGACTTACCTAGTCGGACTATTTGTCACAGGTAAATATACTCGTCAACAACTTAGAGCTTAGTGCTCCCAACAACTACCGGCATAGGTGTGACATGGACGTTACACATGATTTTTGTTTTGTCCATGTTCATCTTAAGACCTATCCATTGGGAGACACTATTGAAGTCATTGAGCATAATGCTTAGGTCCTCCAGCGATACTGCCATAAGGACTATATCGTCGGCAAATCGAAGGTGAGTGATGTACTCGCCATTGATGTTAATACCGCATCCTTTCCAGTTCAGTAGCTTGAAAATGTCTCCCAAAGCAGCGGTGAAGAGTTTCGTGGATATAAAGTCATCCTGTCTTACACCTTTCTGCAGTTGCATATCCATCCCATCAGGCCATCGTAGCTGTTCGCGCCCAAACACTGGTTTCAAGATTTGACGCCAGAGGGCGCTCGGCTCGATACGGTGCGTTCATAACCGGTTAGACGTGTGAGCGGTTAACGGGAGTTTTGTTGCCAGCGGGCCGCGTCCGGGGATAGCAGGCAGTTGGTTGCTACCGGCGGCTGGGTCGAGTCGGACAGTAACTTTAGTGCCGCGGAGCCGTCGCCACGTAACGTATTTGTGGTGCTCGTGGCAGCGATTTCGTGCGACCAGTTTTGGCTTTTGGGTCTAGATTTTTAGTATTTGTGCGCGTTACTTCGCTACTTAATTTGTGGTTTCGTGAAAACCGCTTCGGTTTAATTGTCTAAGCTATGAGTTCGTGAAGAAGCAGTGATAATTTGATTGATTAACCTAAATTCGTTGGCAAGTAATCTACGTAACTTGTAGTGATTACCGGTTGAAGTGCTTTACAATAATACTTTGCGTCGAGTAGTTGCTCGTGTGGCATTTGCTATAGTTTGGAGACATTTTCTTTTGTCAGTTGAACGCTGAACTTTGTGACTCTAGAGAAGGTCGTGTTCGGTTCTAGAAATAATTGGTTGCCACGTGAAACGGAAGTGAACTTTGATCCGCCCATTAGGTATTCGTGCCGTGGGTAATGTTTTTGATTATAAGTAACGGGATTTAATCGCGTTTTTAAGTTAGTTAAATGTACAATAAAGTTGGTAGACTGAATTACTGAATTGAGGACAGAAGTTGTTAATTGGTGATCGCCCACTTTTGAGAGATCTCACCTTTGGAGTAGTGGCAGCGCCGGTGGATCTGCGGTCAGACTTCAAAGGCTAATTCGGGTTAAATACACATACACTTCTCATAAACTACTTACATTCACCACACCTGACGCCTGAACGAGCCTTGGGGTCCTTCTTCGCTGCTAAAGCAGGTAAGTCAAGTAATTTAAGTACCTACTCTTTATATCTCAAATATCCATAGGCATTTGGGCCCCGTCCTTAGTTATCCGTCGAGTACAGCTGTATGGGCCCCTGTATAGTCGACCTTTGTCGGGACAGCTAGGGGCGTGTACAGTAGCTGTGCAATCACTTCACCACTTCGATATACCGACTGTCAACTTGGCACCGCTGAAGGGACTGCAGCACCGCCCAAATTTCGACGGAATCAAAGGCTTTCTCATAGTCCACATAGGCCAGACATAGTGACAAATTGTACTCTTCGGACTTCTGTACAATTTGCCGATGGGTATGTATGTGGTCTATGGTGCTAAAGCCCTTTCGGAAACCGGCTTGTTCGGGAGGCTGTAAGTCGTCAAGTCTGCGCGCGAGACGATTCATAATGATTCTCGAAAACAGCACGTAGACGCGGCTCAGAAGGGAAACCGGTCTGTAGTTCTTCAAGAGAGCATTGTCACCTTTCTTGAAGAAGAATACCACCGCACTTCTGCTCCACGCCTTCGGTGTAATGCCACCATGGAGGACGGAATTAAAGAGCCTCTGAAGGACTTCAAGTACCGGTTTTCCACGCGCTTTCAGAAGCTCCGCTGTAATTCCACATTTTTACAATTTTACAAATTACTTTTCAATGCATTTTTACAATTTTCACCGACTACACGTCATACAAGACGCACATAGTATATTATTTTCATAGAAACCACTCTTTAAAAAAAAACTACCACTAAACCACTTGTCCACTTGTCGTTTTCTTGGGCCTGGTTAAGAGTTAAAATAATTTTGAACATTTTTCGATTCCTTACTCGTCAAATAAGTGTATTCCCTTCATGATTGGAAATAACTATTATAATTAATAGAATCAGGCGTTACTTTGTGGAAATCCATTATAATGAGGTTGCTATAACTTCATTTGCTTAATTCCGCGTAAAGAAAGAAAATTATGTGTCCGTTGTGTCCTGTCCAGTTTTAAGGAGACCTCCCACCCTCCCTCAATTGCGCGCACTATACCCGTCACCGCCAATCCCAGCTCGGCTCGGAGTCTTCTTCGTCTGAGGATGCCTCGTGTAGAGGCGAAACACGTGTCGTATTTTCGAGAGTGGTGTGTCGTGCCTAGTGTGATGGTGCTGGAGGTGGTAGTGCTGGGATGGAACCTCATAATAACTATTATATATTATATTAATACGTAAACATAAAAAGTTGTCGTACGTTTTTTAGTAAGTATTCGAATTTATTATAAAAGTAATATACGGTTGCCATAGTTGTGTAGAGAAAAAAACCATGCATATGTTTGTTGTCGATAAGATCGATAAAATAAAGTGACCATACAAACATAACTTTTTCCATACAAACACTTTAACCAGTACTAGTGGAAATAAAACTTTGATATATTTTACTCACACGAAGGGCGATCTCATTGTTGGGGGTGACATCGACCCAGTCCTTGATAGTTGTCACCAGTGTCACATTGTCCACGTGGCAGTAGCCGTCCTGCAAAAGGAACATATATTTTAAGATTTTTTTTACTTTTTAGTTAATTTTATTTTAATTAACTGTACAATGAATTCAAACAATGCCTTAATCTAACTATTTTCTAGGTTCCTGAATTAGGATATATACCGTGATATGATTCGTTCATTTGACCCGGGTTGTATCAAAGTGTTTATAATTGCAATTATATTTTTTGAACGTCCGGAACGTTCAAAAATGTAATTGCAATTATAGGGCATATTAACCACTCAAGCCGCGGCATTAACCACCACGAACTTAGTCAAACCTATGGTAATAAGTGATTTTTCCAATACGGGTATTATTTATAGATAATAAAACCTTTCCAAAACTATTTTCAAACTTTATTTTATTCCCTGGGATGCTTATGCCCTATAAAAGGCCAGAGAACCGGAGATCTTTAGTACTGGAAATGAGGCATTCCATCTTAGTGCTCAGGGACGATAACTCAACCGTATTTTGATTCTACATCAAATATAGATGAATTTGTCTATGGGCCACAGCATCCACTTACCATCAGGTGGGCTAGACCATAGTTCGTTTGGTATTTCAATTTTATAAAAAAAACTAACCTTCCCCAAGTAACCGCCATAGTCCACTTCAGTGGGCAGACCGTGTTTCTTGATCCACTGGTAAGCCCTGGATGGCGAGCCACCGTCGCAGCCCAAGTTACCGAAGCTGATAGTAGAAATTTAAAATAAAGTTATTTCTTATATGTAGGCAATACCCGTTAAAATAATATAATCTTACAAATTTTATAATTTATAATATTAGCTTATATAAGGGACTAGCGATTCGCCCCGGTCTCGCATGATTGATTTTTTGATTGATTTGATTACTTCGTGTAATGTTTGGATCTTGACAACAGTGCCACCTACGGAGTCCAAATGTGAATCAAAACCATCCAGGGTGGGTCCAACACTAAAAATATTTTGGTAAATCCAAATGCCTTAAGCGCTCATGTTATACGTTAATTTTTTAAAGTATTTTAAATACAAACAAGTTTCTCTAATAACCTTACTACTATCCTTCCAATTTTACGATAATTTTATGTCAAACATCAATAAAAAATTACTCTATCAAGTCCGGAGGTAGGGTCTCATCATAACAAACAAAACGAGTCCAAACTAAGCACACTTATTACTATTACTACTCTTCGAGAACTTCCAGTAGCATTTACCTAAGTACACCTTCTTCAGGTCACTCCGTCAAGTCCGGGGGTAAGATCTCATCATAACTAACATAATGGCACACCTAGTTCTCCTCGTCGAGGAGTTACAGTAGCAGATTTTTTTTTATAGGATAAGGGTGACAAACGAGCAAGCAGTCCACCTGATGGTAAGTGGTTGCTGCGGCCCATAGACATCTACATCTATACTCGCTTGCGAATCAAAATGCAGATGCGTTGTCACCCGTGAGGACTAAGATGGAATGCCTCATTTCTAGTAAAAAGGGCCTCCGGCCACCTGCACTCACCAAGCGAAACACAGAGGTAAACCTCTACTTCACGCTGGTATTCTGTGAGGTCGTGGTACCACCCCGGTTCGAGCCGGCCCGTCCGTGCGACAGCAAAAGCTGCCGCGTGGCTCTACCACTGTGAGATAACGAAGTATACTTTCAGGTTACTCCATAAAGTCCAAGACGTATTAGTACATTTATATATAAATCCTACGTACTTTTAGCGAAACAAAATATTGTTATAAAAATCTGTGATTATAAAAATAATAATAATAATATCTTACCTTGGTCAAATATGTATCAAATTAGGTATTTTGAATATTTTTTATTTTAATTATTTTTTGTATTTCTACAGTGGTCGATATTTTATAGCACGAGCCACTGTAAACAAACAATACAGTAATCCACTCACGGAGTGAGGCAAAGTGTATTTGGTAAAATAATTTTTTTACAAGGCTACTCATAACACCGAAAATATTGAGATTTCTCATCCAAAAAAAAAACTAAAACTAAACAGAAAAAAATTAAGTTCCCACATGATAGATGAAGAGATTAAAAAATAGTTTGAGTGGAACAATTGATATTTTCCAAAGTTATTGCGTTTACCCCTCCATTAGGACTTGATAAATCTACACCATAAGCCACTAAAACCACTTTTTTATGTAAAAATTGCAATTAATTGATTTAAAAAAAAATTATAAGTTCAACAATCATATATCTTTCTGAAAATGTGCTTTTATATCATTTATATATTCAATATAATTGTTAGTTACGATTTCACGCGACAAAACGTTGGAATCTTGATCTTTAGGCACTAGTAGAACATGCCTATGCGCTTGGCGCTGGCACATGTGTTTTTCTTGTAGCAGTAAAAAATGATTTTGTTAGATAAATGTTTCTAACTTATAAATCTGTACAAAATTTTAATAAACTATAATTAATGAGTATTATAATATCCAAAATTATTTTATTTCTATTTTCGTGACAACCCCTAGCATACAAGTTGGCCTCGTAAATACCTACGCGGGCGGCGGCATCGCCTTCACAAAGGCGTCTCACAACTGTAAGGTCTAAACTTATAGTCTATAAAAATTAAATTTATGCTGCAGAAGTAAGTCGCAAAGTTGGAATGCACGGCCTAAACGGAAGTTTATCGACCAAATTGGCGATATATTGAAGATGCACCAAATTAAGAGTGTCCTTGACAAACGATCATGAATGCATAGTGTAGTGTATAGACAAATGTCTTGTAGTGTATAGACAAACGGTAGTGAGTCGTCACTACTGGGGTATAAATACAGCCCGCCGTGTGAACATCGGGCAGTTGAATTGTAACCAGCGAGAAGGCGACATCTCTGTTAATACGTGTATACCGACAGACGTGTACCAAGTATTGTGTAGTGTTAGTGACATTATGTAATGAGTGATAACCGAATATATTGTGCAGAATAAAGCAGTGTATTGTATATTGGCGACGAGGAAAAAATACTGTAAGTAATTACAAATGTTTTTATATGAACTGGAAAATTTTATACTAGGATTTGCTGTATTCTCTTTTAAGAGATTGATTAAAATACGGATCGTAAAATTGGGGACATTTATAGTAATAGCAGTTTGATAGTCATGCAGTGACGTAATTTATCTTTGTTAAAATCAAATGGACACCTCAATGAGATGGTCCAGGAGCATGGACACTTATTGATGATGGTCCAAGTATTACTAAAGCAAAGGTCCAGTCATGGACATGCTTTAGGTCCTAAAACGGGGTTTAAAATAGCTAAGGCTGAGATATCATGAGAATGTAATTGCGTGACGGTCTAATAATAGACACACGTATTTAAAAGATATATTTGTCACTGTTTGAGTTATCACGCTGCGGGCATCCAAGATGTTCCCCGTTCTAGTACGAAAAGCTAATAAATAAAAGTACTGGTAGAAATTAATTACTTATTATCTGCTTGTACTTCTTCTTTCTTACAGGAATAAGACTATAACTATAAAAATAAAAAATGTCATCACTACCCCCTCTAGAATCATTTGATTGTGATGGGGATTCTCATGGCATTGGTGCAAAATGGGAAAAGTGGAAGCGAGGTTTAGACATTTATCTAGAAGCTGCAAATATTGAACTACCCGCTAAAAAAAGGGCTACATTATTATACATGGGTGGCCTTAGTCTCGAAGAAATATATTATAATATACCAGGCGCCCATGTTAGCAGTACAGATGATCCAACGAAGGATATTTATGCTATAGCCATTGAAAAGTTAGACGAGTATTTTGCTCCAAAACAAAGCAAAGTATATGAGAGACACTTATTTCGACTAATGAAACAAGAATCGGGAGAAAAATTTGAAAAATTTCTAATTCGATTAAGAAAACAGGCTGATAAATGTTGTTTTGCAAATAAAGAAGAAAGCATTATCGATCAAATTACAGAAAAATGTTACTCTGGCGAGCTTCGTAAAAAATTTTTAAAAGGAGGTGACAAAATGACATTAGAAGACATCATAATAGAAGCCAATACCCTAGAAAGTGTGAACAGACAGATGGAAGAATTTACTCACAACCCCGCATGTAATAGCAGCACCGTAAATAAAATTGAAACCAGAAGGAAAATGTCTAACAAATCGTGTACTAGGTGTGGGAGCTTTAAGCATATGCCTCAATCAATGGAATGTCCCGCAAGGAAAATTAAATGCCATAAATGCGGTATAACGGGGCACTTTCGAAAGTACTGTTTGACAGTAAGGCCACTTAAAAGACAATTTTTGAGTTCAAAAGACCCTACCCCCACCAAAAAATCAAGGACGGAGGAAAAAGAAGAAATCGATTATGTTTTTCATGTAGATGACGACACTACTATTAATTGTTGGGTTGGTGGTGTCAAGACGTCATTATTGATCGATTCTGGATGTCAATGTAATTTGATAACAGATGTTACATGGAGAAAACTAAAATCAAATAAAATAAATGTTTTTGAAATGGATAGATCACCGGATAAAACATTTTACGCCTACGGTAGCACTAAGCCATTAACTATATTGGGATCATTTAAAACTCAAGTCCAAATCAATAGCAGAAAAGAAGTTGCTGTTTTCTATGTGATAAAAAACGGCACTAAAGATATTTTGGGGAAAGTAACCTCCATAGCATTGGGCGTTTTGCGATTAGGTGTTAAAGTAAATACCGTAGAGTCAACATCAGATGAAAATATTACAGTATTTCCAAAATTTAAAGACGTTGTTGTTGAGATACGTATTGATGAGAAAATAACGCCAGTAAGTCAGCCTTACAGGAGAATACCTATACCCCTAGAAACAAAGGTTAATAAAAAGATACAAGAATTATTGCAGCTTGATATTATCGAAGAAGTATCTAAGCCATCAAAATGGGTTTCACCCATGGTGCCTGTTTTAAAGGAAAATGGGGATATAAGGATCTGTATCGATATGCGGAGAGCTAATGTAGCAATAATTCGTGAAAATCATCCACTACCAACAATGGACCAGCTGCTACCACATTTTAAAGATGCGAAATTATTTTCTCGCCTCGATATTAAAAACGCTTTCCACCAAATCGAAATCCATCCTGATACCCGATATATCACTACATTTATAACGAGCAAAGGGTTATTTAGATACAAGAGACTTATGTTTGGTGTTTCCTGTGCTCCAGAAATGTTTCAGAAAATCATGGAACGCACACTTATACGGTGTGAAGGTACGGTAAATTTTATTGACGATATTGTCATTTTTGGATCAAATGAGGCAGAGCATGACCAACGATTACAACAGACACTCAATATTTTGAAAGAGAACAATGTTCTGTTAAATAATGATAAGTGTATTTACAAAGTAAATAAAATAGTGTTCTTGGGGCATGAGTTATCTAGTGAAGGTGTAAGGCCTTTAAAAAAGTACATTGACAGTATCCAAATGTTTAGGGCACCAACAACTAATAATAAGCTACTGCAACGCTGCCGTCATGTTAAATTCCGCTCAGTGTAAAAAATTTTGATAAAATAGAATAAATCGATTGTGGACTTATAAACAATGCAAATTAACTATAAATATAGTGTAGTTTAAGTGTAAGTGTAGTCAACAAAAACTAATCATTAAATCACAAAAAAATAAAACGGTGCGATAAAAGTGTAACAAGCATCATGTTCATACGTGATAATAAACTCTAAAATTGAAAAGACGTATAAAAACTGTATA